ACATAAATCAGTGAACTGTTGTTCATATAGTGAGTACAGTTATATTAATTTCCAAAGTTTTGCCCTTTTATGTACAGTGCTGATTATAAACGTGCTCGATTCTACTTCTTTATCGTGTGAGTTCCTTCAAAGTTCACACTATAACAGTAGCAGTTTCGCTTGACAAATGTAGAGAAATCGGAAAATTTCAATGCTCAAGAGAAAAGTGAAGTGATAGACAGACTTCTTCTTTATGTTCACAGCTTTTTTAGCTTATAATATTCTCTTGCAAGGGTACAACGACATTGGAACACAACATGGTTGGATTTTGTCGGACTTAAGAAATTGCATATCTACTCTCTGAGTGCAGGAGAGTATTACGCTTATTTTTTAAAAAATCGCCACTTTCGATAGAGCCTTTTCACGGTTCAGTGATGGTCAGCGCCTAGTACAAACACTTATAGTCAAAGCATAGCATTTGACTACGCTTCCACGCGGATCAGGAGCACAAAGCTTTGTCGTAGTGTTCATCAAGGCCCAAAACGAGGCGACAACAATATCTCTTTGCAAAGATGAGCATGTGCCCGAACCCTACGGCTCTTCGCGGATCTGCGCATTAATGACTGAGGATTCTCCGCTTCCGATAGATTATTATTCTACTTCTTTGTTTGTGCATGCTTACAAAATTCTTGAGCTTGTCACAGTTCAGCAAAGGCCAGACATTGATAGAAGACGCATAATCATTTGAACTTTATTCAACTTGACAGCCGCCAGCTCGGATCAGGTGTACTCTTATTTCCATTGCTCCATCCTTACTTTTTGTAGACTGAAACGAAGTGGACAACATCTTCGAAATGCATGGTGTCCGCAATGTTACGCATCTGTCATGCCACGGTGTAAAAGTAGTCTTACAGCAGACTGACTAGAATTATAGAATGTCACGGCTTTCACAACAATTTAATTTTTTTTAAGTTTGTTTGATAGGATAGGAAGAAGGATAATTCTGAAGCATAAGATGGATAGTTCAAGAAATTATCGTCAGAAATAGAGATAGCCTTCACATCTTAATCCAGTCATCTGCAATCGAATTTTTCCTTCTCGAAGCCTTAACGCACAGCTCTGCGAACAGCCGTAGGGTTCGGGAACATGCTCATCATTGCAGAGTCATCGTTGCCACTTTTTCTCCGAGCTTCATGAACCACCACACGATTTTTGATTCTCCTAATTTGCGTGGAAGCCGCCGTCAAATGGTAAGGTTAGATTGTTTTTATACCAAACGCTGGCTATCACTGCACTGCGTGGAAAATTTTTGTCGAAAATAGCGATTTTTTGGACAAATTAGGAGTAACCTTCTCGTGCTCAGAAAGCGAAATTACTTTGTAGTTGAACATGTACAGAAGTTGGACGCTAATGAAAGCTGATATTGTAGAAAACAAGGAATGCGTTCATCATTTTTAACCAGCTTTCTCTTGCGCATTTGTGAATAATTTTCCAAATTTCTGTGCTAACGAAACGTGAGTTAGAAATGCTGTTTTTATGAACAGGGTCAAGCGTGGTTTTATTTCAAACACCATTTATTACCCTCCTCCCTCCTGGCCAGTCCGATACGCCCATCTCGCCGTCCCTTCCTCTTTCCTCCTCTCCCTTCTCCCCCTTCCTTACAGTAATCTAGGTGTTCAGCCCTCCGGGTCCTCAAGTGAGCACAAATTCTACTTGTGAAGTTTTCGCAACACAAAAATTTGGTTGGGAACGGGCATCTTAAAGGAGGCGTTAAAAATGAATACAATGTCTTCTTTTGTCATTTCTATTGAAAATATGCGGAACATAGGAAATATGTGTAACTTTTTAGTTGCTACACACGTATAAACATTCGTCATAAAAGAAAAAAAAGGAAACAACCTTTGAATCTTCTTCAAGAATGCGCTCTTGATACCCAAGGCGTCAAGTAGGAACAATGTATGTGAGAGAGCCCCGAAAATGAGTTTTTTGGCATGAAATCTTGTACATATCTCCTTATCTGAGAATGATTCTGGGCAAAGTTACTAAGTTTAGATAGAAGTTAAAAAAGAATTTAGTAGATCTACATTAACTTAAGAGAAGGACCCGGCATTTCACTATGGCCTCAAAGGCCTTATCCGGGCAAACATAAGGATTTCGAGCTCTCACGAGAGAGAAAGCCGATTCTCTAATTGCAAGATCCAAAAAAGGCAGATAATTCGCTGTGTTAAGCGAAAAAAATGCTCCCAACGTTTAGGTCGGTCCGCCCCTTGTAGGTCACTCTGCCCGCTTAGTGGTTTCCTTCTCAGCACTACCAGTAATTTGGCTTCTCTCAAAGCAGTGCTCTTAGCCAGAAAGGCATACGATCTTTCAGAAGCAAAAGTCGAAAGAAACCACCCGTCTGCCATTCGCCTGTAAATCCAAAG